CTGCCTGCTGAGAACCTGCCGCCGCACGCCGGGGAAGGGGAAACGACTGTGGGAAGTTGGGGACAAGCCAGAGGAGCCACGGCAACGCTGCCACCCTCCCCAGCCCTTCTGACCTTCCCAAGGCGAGGGCTGCCCTCCCCGAGCTCTCCAGCAAAGACGTGCCGTGGGAGGGAACGCTGCTCTGCCTTCTTCCCCGGTGGGGACAGCGCGGATAAAGCTATTTTACAGCTAGGACCGCTCTGCAGCATCCTGGCCTCATCTCTGAAGCGCAGGGAGCTGCTGATGGGTGCTGCACGTTCATTTGGCCTCTTTACCCCGGGGACAGGCGGGGGGGGGGGGCCGGGTGGTGTGGCACACACCCCCAGGCTGCTGTGCAAACACCCCCTGCACCGTGCTCAGGGAATAACAGCCCCGCGTGCCTCATCAAGCAGTGATTATCGAAGCACATCTTTCCTTTACTATGCAGGACAGAACTATCAGAAGGCAGACACAGCTGTCATTACAATTGCAGCTTTATTATAATCTCGTGGTGAAGGAGGACTGGTCAGATCACAAGATGCATGCTAACAGAGCGCTTCCCCTTTACTGGACATTGCAGAATCAGTTCGGCTACTTCTTTTTTTACACTTTTATTTCCAAAAACTGCTCTTGGTGCACACACAAAGATGCAGTGAGTGGCACTGCCATGGCCTCAGATACATCCACCCTGCTTGGGAAGAAAACCTGACATTTCTGTTTTGCTAGAAAACAGGCTTTGAAGTTTTCTTCATCGTGCCTGCTCTGAAGGTCACAGCTAATTAGGCAGTTAAGTGCTTGTTCACAATAATGAGTGCAACGTATATATGAACAGAATAGCAATGGGCTATACTGGATTGCAGCTGAAGAGATGCAGCAATTGTGGGGCGAGTGTGAGCTGGTGGCTCGTACTGTGCACGTGCCTGTCCGTACAGCGTCTGCTCAGCTCCGACAAACGTTTACTTTCCATTCAGTTCCTTTCTAACTGCACACTTGTCAGTATAATAAACGTATCTAAATGTAAAGCTTTAAAATGTATAAAGTGATGTAAAAACTTAAGCCAATGAGTGCTAACAGAGTGAGCCAGAAGTCAACCTCACTTTCCGACTCCCCCTATGACCAAATCTGTTCCTTGACTGATTGGTAATTTTTGTTCTGGCTACGTAAGTATTAGCATGAATTATGAAGTCATAAAAAAATCCTTAGTCAGCATGATTATTCAACACACAAAGAGGATGGTTCTCATGATACCAGTGATGACGATCAGTCATATGCTCTGGGTTTTAGCTCCTTTTCAAGTTTCTGGATCTCCAGGTACAGTTTCTGGACTTCCAGCAGAGTTTTCAATTCTGTCAGAGGAACTCCACACTGGAAAGCCTCCCTGGTTCGAAGAATCTTCTCACATGCGGTATTCTTTTTCTTTAAAAGAACCGAAACAAAGACAGAGGGCATGAGACTCTGCTGCAGGGCACTACGTGCTGAGCATCCCCCTCCCACTGCAGCCCCTCAATCATGCCAGCCCTATTATAACAAAGCAACCACATTCATGAAGTCAGATCAGTGATATTCCAGGCTATAAATGGGGCAAGGTACAGGCAAAACCTGGATTTGGGTGGTACTTACACACGTGAGTGGAGGTGTCCAAGTGCCATTAGCTGAGCAGGTAGTTTTGGATTGAGTGATATCACCTCTACAGTGGAAGTACAGAGTTTCATTCACCTCGTACGGTGATCTAGACAAGTCAATCCTTAGGTCCTCCTGTCCTGAGGGTACGGGACATAGAACTGAAAGGAAAACGCATGCCAAAAAAAATAATGTAATGGGAGGAGACGGAGGAGAAAACACCCTGCAAAGTCCACTTGTTGCTGGTGATTCAAAGAGGCAGCAACCCCTGGCCTGTGCAAACCAGCTGTGGGGCATCTGCCCGGGTCTGGTACCCACCTGGCTGGCAGGTGGGCAGGGCAGGGTGCCAGGCGCCGTCGGCCAGGCACCGGCTCTCGGCATCGCCGTGCAGCACGAAGCCTTCGTCACAGGAGAACCGCACGGCCGCCCCGTATCGGCGGAGTCATCCTTCCTCTCTCGACCGTGGGCTTGGGGCACCGAACCACTGCGGGAAGAGAGCGGAGGCGGGAGCGGTGATGCAGGGATGCTCCCTGCATCAGTTCGATACTCAAAGGCAAGAATTGAGCCTCAGCTGCCTGCAGCAACCCCCAAGGAGACCCTACCAGTCCCTGGCGTTACTGATCAGCTCGTGGTGCCAAGACCTTCGCACAGGAGCCGCACGGTCATTCGGCCGCTCTGGGTTTGGAGCTCCTGGACCGGGGCAGGTAACGGGGCGGGGGCTTAGCCCCGGCATCGCACCCGGGTCCTGCTCCAGCCTGATCCCGTGCAGCAGAAACGACTCACCCTTGCACTGCGGGGCAGGGCCGCTCCACGCCAGGTTCACCCCATCGTCGGAGGTGCAGTAGATGGACTCGTCCCCAATGAGGGACAGACCCTCCGCACAGCTGTACGTCACCTCTGCGCCGTACGGGAACTGCCCCCGTCCCGAGCCAGAGTGCTGCCCGTTGGTGATTTGTGGAGGGTGGTCACAGACTACGGAATAAAGGGAATTGATAAGAAAAGAAACATGCGATTATCACAGCCAGGTGAGAATCAAAATAGCTTCTGGGAAATCAGTACAAGAGCTAACTTCATGTTTGTAGCACAGCAAATTCACATGAAGTTGCTGCCTGGCTTCTTGCCTCCTACACCAGCTCAATGCTGCCACTTCTCGCTCAGCTCCCACCTGGGTCACATCTCCAGCGAGAAGACACCTCAACGCTGTCAGCCCATGAGCTGATGATCATCATCCCGTTCCCCAGAAGCAGACGCTGGAGGCAGTTTCTGACTGCAGTTTACTGACTGCTGTTTCTGAATACTGATGCACAAGGTTTCTTCTCAGCACCACGTTACACATACCTTTATCACAAAATGGTAACGGGGGAGCCCAGCTCACATCAGCCTGACACTCAGTCACGTCGTGGCCCCTGAGGACATAGCCTGAATCACACGCCAGCCTCAGTTGGGTCCCAACTGTGTAGTCATTTTTGCTTTTATAAACCTCTCTTCCATGAGTGGTATCTGGCTTTGGGCAACGAAGTTCTAGAAACAACAGAAAATAAAGAATGTCATGTATTTTCAGAAAGAACGCCAATGAAGATGCTTTCTATGGAGAGGCCAGTTAGCAACAACATCTGAACCCTGAAAAAAAAGGTGACTATCACCCAGATGCAGGTCTCAATGCTTCCTTTCTAACTTTAAAGGAGTTTCTGCTGCCTCAGTCAGATTTTTCTGAAGCTGTTGGGAAAGGCACATGCTGCAGAGCTGGGTCTGTGCCTGACCGAGCTCCTTGGGGCCCTCGGCACCACGCACTGTTATGGTCCCAGGGACTGCAGCCCCTGCTTTCCCCACTGGGCTACACTCGAGAGGCTGCTGAGCAGCATCAGGGCCAGCACAAGGAACCATCCACGCTCTAATGCTGGCTGCTCTGGGAGGTGGAGCAGACTCTTTCCTCCTGGCAAAGGTTTTCCTGAGCTTTTGAGCTCAGACCACTTCCAGCAGCTCGCTGATATTGCTATCGTGCCCCATTGCTAGATAGACTATTAGTTTCAGCAGCGTCACTCATTTATGCTGCTGCATTTTCTTCTGAGAGGGGAAATGCATTGAGAACATCCTCTGCTCCCAAGCCTCGTGTCAACAAACCAGCTCAGCTGTTGTCCAAAGCACAAACCACATCCCCTTCCAGCTGGGTGTCTCTCAGGCTTCTTAGGAACCTCCTGAGCCTCTAAAAAGCTGCCAACACCCCCACTTCCCCTCCCACCATCTCAGCCCCCTGCCAAAACCCCATACTTTTTCCACAGCAATCCCCAGGCAATATAATGATCCATCTGGACCGTTTGCTGCCTATTCTAAATTAACACGAGAGGACTAGTTCTGGGGATACGTGGCAGTGGAGCAAAATCCTCTTTGGCTATTTCTACCATCATCTAAGGCCACACATAGATTTTTCTGCCAATGTCAGCAGACAAATACACCGTACAGTGTGACCCAAACCTTTTGCAGTCAAAAATAAGCAGTCACCAAGTCAACATGCTTCACCAACTCTCGCCTACCTGGAGTGCACTCCGGTACTTCTGGATCCCATCTACCATTACTTGCACACCGAAGCACGAGGTTATTGCTATGACCTTTGAAAGCATAGCCATCATTACATGTAATTTCAAGTCTGTGTCCATACACGTAACTGTCTTTTTCTTCCCATGCAAGGCTTTCATGTAAGGGCTTTCCATTCCTGACGTCTGGCTTTGGGCAACGAATTTCTGAGAAATACCAAACATTAGCAAGTGTGAAACCATGGCAAAGCCACCTGGATGACAGCAGCTTCGTTGTAAACAGAAGGATGCATGCTTTGTAAGACAAAGACTCATCATAACACTAAATCTGCCCCAACACCATCCCCCGGGTGCTCCTGGGGAACGGGGTGTTCGCGAGGGACTCTGCAACTGCAACCTCCCCTTGGATGGAGCAAGGGGTCCTCCACACCGCAATGACTTTTTCCACAGGTTCAAGGGACTAGAAAGCATAGCTGGTAAATAAAGCAGAGAAAATCCTGTGGTTGGGGAATAAATCAAAGGAGATCAAGAGACCAGAGACGCGCCAAGTGGGCACTCAGAGCACCCCCACCCTGTGATCTGCACAACTGCAGCCCACACACAGTTTCTTCATTCGATAATAATTTTGCCAGATCACAAGGGTAAGCCGGCCAAAGGAATGCATACTTACTTTCGCAAGCCTGTGGAGTTTCAGACCACGTAAAATCTGGCAGACACTTAATGTGCCACGTGTTTTCTCCGAAGCTGAACTGGTGGCCCTTGTTGCACTCATAGGTAACGACGCTATCCACAGGAAACAAATTGCCAGCAAGTTTTACTGTCATAGCATTAGGCACATCTGGAGGGTTGTCACAGCTACCTAGGAATGAAAGAGCGATTTAGGGACATTGCCAGTGATAAATCAGCGAGGCCCATAACGATATGGAACATAACAGAGATAATTTGGGGAAAAATCATGGGCTCACTTTGATCTGAGATGCACTTAACTGTCTGAGTTCAGTAATGCTGAAGAGTGAATGCAAAGGAGAAATGAAAACATGAATAATTTCAGATTGCATGGTAATTTTCACTGTTATAATGAGATGTAATTTCTAATAAAGTTTATACTATTGGAGGCTCTACCAACAAACTTTAAAAATACAAGTATAGAAAGGTTCATTCAGTCCCTTTGAATTCCACTGAGAAACGCTCACCAGCTTGAATGGGACAAGGCTTTAGTCTCTATGGCCCCAGGTCATAAATTCCTAAAGTCACCTTGGTGCTACAGAGAGATTAGCCAAAAAAAAATAAAAAAAAAAATCCAGAAAGTTAAATCTTGGAGCCATTGCTTTCAGGACCTAACGATTTCTTGGGTGGGAACTTCACGGAAGCAAAGCTGCTGGGCCAGGTGGAGCAGCGCTCGGGCCACCACACTCACTGAGCTGACACAGCGGCAGCGGAGGGTCCCAAGAGCCGTTTTCTTTGCACGTGGATGCATCGCTGCCGTTCATGGTGTAGCGGAAGTTGCAGTCGAACATGACAGTGTCTCCGTAGGTGTACTCAGACCGGTACCTGCTCAGCAGCTTCCCATTGTCCACGCTCGGATGCTCACAGTTAACCACTGCATCAGGGAAAAGCCACTTAGGGAATTGGCAGTTATGCTCAAGAGGGGAGGTTAAGGTATTAAAAACATTCTCGTAGCATAAGGTGTGTTCACCAAAAAGGCTGAAAATGGACACGACAAGATAGCAGGCTGACGTGATATTTTTAAACTCCTTACTCTATATTACAGCATGTTTTTATTTCAGACTTTTTATTAAGGCAAACCGTAAAAAGAACATAGGAAAGGCAGCGAGTATCACAGCAGGTTTCTGAGTTCTTTGCAGGTATCGTTTTACACAGCCCAGGAGGCAAAATGCACTGTCTGATCTGCAAACGCTAATAAAATCCCACTCCCATGTCCCCTGCTGACTTGGTGACCATGAGCAGCCACGGTCCCTGCGATGGGAGATCCTAATTCCTGTTGCTGCTACCAAACTCAGAGGGTCTCGTCTGCAAGAAGCGATTCCAGCAACATAAAGGAGAGACACAACTCCAAGGAAGAAAGCAGCTTTTGCAGACCGAGCAGTAGGCAGCGGAGAAGGGGCTGGGGCTGGTGCTGCTGCCGTGCCCCCGTGAGCGTGCACCTCACCCCGTGCGTGGGAGCAGCTCACCTTTGCACTCCGGGGCTGGCTTGTTCCAGACACCATTTACGTTATCTGTGGTTGTACAGAAAATAGAGGCGTCTCCCACCAGCGAGAAAGGTGTCTCTCCCCTTTTAACAGTGTTGCACCGGTAAGTGACTGATGCTCCATATTCAAAGAGCTCTTTGTCAGCTCCGCTGTGCTCTCCGTTAGCTATTTCTGGAGGGGGTGAACATGGTATTGCTGGGGAGGGGGGAGAAACGGTAAAAGGGGGGGAAGAACAAAAGAGAAAGAACTTAATTAGTTTTGAAACAAGAGTCCGGTAAGAAAAAAGTTGAAACACAAGGTGCCAGAAGGGTCAAAAATTAAGGGCAGGTCTCAAAGGAGTTGCACACCACCAGCCGGGCACCAGCGCTCTGACCGCTTTGGGGATCTACCAGTCTTACACGCAGCTGCCTTACTCCCAGACAGTGAATAATTTTTTTCTGCAGGATGATGCAGGAAGAAAAACACAAAGAAAAAAATGTCTTTGCAGACTCCACCACGCATCGGACTGCTGAAATCCTCAGCAAGGCAAGGCGACTGCTGCTTTATCCATCCCCAGGAACGTTTAAGCAGTAGATCAATTAAGGAACTCCACTTACGCTCACAGATGGGAATATCTCTGTCCCACGTAACAGCCCCATTCTTAATCACACATTGAATTTGAGAATTTCCAACCAGTCTGTACCTGTGTGAAACAGGGGAGAGGGAATTAACTGACAAATTCAGTTTTGATGTATTACTTACAACATCCCCATCAGGGTGGTTTTGACTTCCTTATCATAATTACAGCTGATCAGAAAATTGCCATCAATGTCATTTTTTCCAATGACACACTGGCTTTTCACAAAAGCATTTTTAAAATAAAAAAATATCCATGGTTTCTAAGGAAAAATGTCTACTTTATCAGCCAGCTGTAGCTATCACTGGAGCTCTGAGTTCAGTATTGATGTCTTTTCGTGAAAAAGATACTGAAATATTGGAAATGGTTTAGAAAGAGCCAGGAGCATGAACTTGAGTTCAGGAAGAACTGCCTCAAAGTACGAGATTAAGATGACTCAGTCTTAAAGCTCTTAAAAGAAGGCTTAAAAGATACTTCAATCACAGTCTGCAATTACCTACGCTGGTAAGGCTTCTGACAGCACAGGCTTTAATCTAGAGGGAAAAGACTTCAGAAAAATCGCTGGAGAAGAAGAGGACCCGTGTCCTGAGTTCTGCTGGCTTACCCAGTGTTGCAGGTGAAGGTCACTGCTGAACCAAAGCTGAACTTTCCTGTTAGGATGAGTCTGCCGTTGGCCGGCTCTCCAGGGTAGATGCACAGCTTTGCTGGGGGACAACAGGATTGGAGTTAGTTCTTATTTCAGTTTCTTGAAGAATTGGGAAAATGCAGCAGGAAAGCAGAAGACTCCTCCAATACAGAGCAAGGGGATGGACCAGAGACCTCCAAATTTCCCCTCCAACCCTAAATTATTCCATGATTCATGATGCTGTTAAGACTTGCATCATGGCCTGCAGCCAGCCTCTACAGTCTAAGTAGGGTTTTGCAGTAACCCTGGCAAGCGCAACAGCGTTTCTTCACAGCTAAAGGATTCTCCTACTGCAAGTTCAAAATACTTTTTTTGAACCGAGAGTTGCAAATTGCCTGAGCAGAAGAACATCCTTCGAGTCAGCAAGCAGCATCAAAGCAGATTTCAGCTTTTGCCATCATTGTTAGTACTTAGCAGAACACAAATGGTCCTTCATGTCAGGCCACTCGTCTCCCACCGTCCCATGAGGTCACCTTGGATACTGCTCCAACAAAATGAGCTAAAAGCACCAGCGAATAAAAAACAAAATCTAAAGTCAACCCAAAAGATACTCACGTATACAGATCTCCCTTGATCCCTGCCAGTTATTGTTACTTCCACAAACCATGGCATTTCGGGCATGAACATTTCTCATGTAACCTGGACGACAGGTGTATTCTACCACTGAAGAATGGGGAAATGTGGTAATGCCACGGTATCGCTCTTTGAGTTCTGCAGATGAGAGATGCGGTGGAATTTCGCAGGCACCTACCGACAGAAATTCCATCATGAAGACGCTGGGAGGAAAAGCAGTGGGAGTTCAGGCCTGATTTACTCTGAAGGTTCAAGTGAGGACACTTCGGTGGCCTTAAAACTTCTTAAAGCTAGAAACAAAGAGGAGACGCGCAGCCTGTGACCAGGGATGGCTGAGGCTGGCAGGGACAGGGACAGCATCACCCCACGAGGTCCTGTTCGCTCCTCATACCTCATCCAGCAGTTTGAAAGGCTGGTCACAAAGTTCAGATTAACCTATTCCTCTCCTCAATTAGTACAAATCATTGTGCCATTTTCAGTTGGAATAATTTTACAGTTGTTTTACATGGAAAGGAAAAAAAAGGCAAAGGAAGATGGATTCTGATCACAAAAATTTACAATGTTGTCGAAATGCAAAAGAAACAAGGGAAAGGGAACGATCCAAGTCTTGTGAACCCCACGAGAGAGTTTTCCTTCGAGGGATCTGAGTTTATCCCGATGGACACATTCACTTACTCTGGACAGCCGCAACAAGAGCGGCGGTGAGGAATAGCCCAAGGACAGCGGCGCGACCCCTCTGCCTCCCTGGCTCCGAAGCTGGCATCTTTCTTTATTCCAGCCTCCCTGTCCAGGGATCCCACAGGAGTTACCACATTCTTTTTCTAGGCCAAACACCTGTAAAAATAGCAGGGGCGTATTTACGCTCAGGATAACCATAGCTCACATGGACAGGTCTCGTTTGCTCCATCCTTAAGCAGTTCCTACAGGCGTGGCTGGGGACCAGAAGCTGCAGGAGCTATTGCAATGCTCTGCAAGAGAGCGGAGCAGCCTCTCTGCTGGCTCCTCTCCAGCTGACGGGACCGAGACCCAACACAGAGGAGCTGGGCTGCTGGGACAGAGCTGGATTTGGGTGAGGAAGGCTGGCTCCAGCAGCCCAGACCCAGAGACGTCAAAATACAATGTAAACAGGACAGCTGATTGTAGATGTTAAGCAATTCCCATAGGCTTTATTCCACTAGTCTCATTTATTTGCATTTTTGAGAACACAGCTTTTAATTAAAATTTAAAAATAGAATTTAAAAAAGGGAAAAAAAGAAAGACTAACAGCTCCACTCAAACCATAACATAAATACTTTGTAACTTTGCAGGTTGACTTAAAAGCATTATATTGCCAATGCAGTGTTCTTACCAGCCAAATTAATACCTGCAGGACCTTGAGTTTGTTTATGCCTGCTGGAAAAAGTCTCCTGAAACTTATCTTACGGGTAAAACATTTTGTTTTTGTAATAAATCTCTTGGAAGCAAATTCATAGTCAGATGAAATCCTGCCAGAGTCAATACAGTCCCCTAACAATAAATTATATGCAGAGAGATATCTAACAGAAAGATACAACAGTTTTGTGCAGAGAACATCAACTGGAGTAAAGCCATAAAGCATAAAAGTCGTTCAGGAGACTGAATTGCTTTACAAAATAGAATTTACGTGCAATTTGGTCTAACCTAGCATCCCTAGAGATCAGCAAGAGTCCTCTCTGACTTTGTTATCCTGGATCATCATTTATGAGCCCAAACCCTCCCAACACTACGTACACTCCAAGTGCCTACCTTCCTCCTGGGAATGAGAGTCTTTCTCGATGCTTTCTGCCCTAAACCTCACACTTCTTGCGGCTGTTTCATTCCTCTGGCTTTCCTTCAATCCTTGTTATAGGTCTTGGTTTAATTTCCTAATCTTTATGGCTGCTAGAGTTGCAAGAAAGCTCCAATCCCATTCAAAAGCAACGTCGCCTAAAGCTGTATTGCTCAAAGGTGTCTTACCTGGAGGTCTGGCAGCAGGAGATGGAGAGACCCGGCGCGTTCGGCTCTTGCGAGATAGAGCAATGACTGTCCTCGTCCAGCCCTCCCTGCTGCAGGCACCGCACCGTTAAGGAGGAGTTATGATACGCCTACACGCTCAGATATGGCTCCGTGCAGAAAAGTTTGAATTCTGTAGAGACCAGAGAATTGTGCCAGTTGACCCATAAATCATTAACTCCTCCTCTAAGCAAGAAGGAAGTAGTTTATTCAACCCACAAAGAAAAATACTAGAAAACTGAACACAACCCAAGCAGATGTTGAAATTGTTTGTTTTCTGTGTTGACCTGCCAACTCCTTGTTGCAACGATCCTTGTTGAGCAGGACACTGCCCGTTACAACGGCACCCAGCCGGTGCCGGTCCCCAGATGATGCCCAGGGACCTCGGGCACACTACGGGGGCCTCCTCAAGAGGACTGCTTCACCCTAGGGCATGTCAACCATGAGCTCATCTCTTCTGACCTCAAAAACCTATGGCCAGCATTCAAAATATGGTTTCTTCAACCAGCTCCACCTAATCCCATTAAAGCAACACCAGCTGGAGCTCCGCAGCACACGAGGTCCCAGGGAGCATCGCTCAGAGCTGAACACCCAGGTCCATGATGGGAAACCCAGCTGCCTTTCATCTCATTGAAAGCCATTCCCAATCCAACTGTCCCTGGTGGGTCCTTTTCCAGTAATAAGAATTTCAGCAGAACTTGTAACCATTTGCTCCTTTTGCACTTTGGCTGCAGAGCTTCATCCGGGCTTGAACCACCATCAAGAACCTGGTGACGGCCTTTTTACCCCGGGTTGGGCTTCTCACAAGCATTGGTTCCTTCTGCCAACTCTGAGGGGATTTTGCCAGAAAAATTTACCATGTCCCTACATGGAGTGGGAAGTTCACCTGAGTCCATACCAAATGAAACAGATGAAGTTCTTGCTCTGTAAAACAAGTTCTTGCTGCCTGCCTGCGCCCCACGAGCAGGGGCTTGCTCACAACAGACCCCCCCCCCCCCCCACGAGCAGGCACTGACCTCCACTAAGTATTTACAAGAATTCCAGTTAATCACAAATACAAACACTGGCTTTCTAGATTTTTTTTTTTTTTTCCCAGATGACTCAGAACAAGCTGGTTCGTGTGCTGAAAGAATCAGCAGCTTCCCCGCGGGCACCCAGGAGATTATTTAGCACCCGCACAGGGTGCTACGGTCACAAGCATCAGCCAGGGCACAGCAACACCAAAACCCATCTCCTGCTCTGACGGCTGCTAAACACCCCTAAGAGCTTCCCAACCCACAGCTTGCAGTGGGATAAACAGGATAAAAGGGGTTTTCCTTGACCACATCCAAAGCTGCTTCTCTTCGGGCTGCGGCTGGTGAGTCCCTTCGGGACCAGCTGGTTTCCAGCTGCAGATGCTGGAAATCACAGTTCAGGTCACACCATTGCTCCTCTTGGCTTTTTTTTTTTCCTCCTAGAAAGAGATGTGCTTTAAAAGGAGCGTTCACTACCCTAACAGCTCCGTAGAAAACCTGAAAATCTGAATTCCGATAGCTCCAATAAAAACACCCTTAAAATTGATGAGGAATTTGATGAGGGGAAGACCTTCTTCCTCCAAACACTTTTCAGATACTCCCTGAATTCACCATTATCTCACAAAGCCAGCACACAATAGTTATAGCAAACAATAATGGAAAACAACAAGAAACTAGATCTATGGTTTTTTTTAAAATCTCTTTATTGTAACTAAATGCTCATGGGATATTTATGCTCAAGGGCAGAGAGTACACAACATACAGCACAAGTTTACACACACTGCATTTTTTTTTTTTAAACCTAAAAAAACCATTAGAAAGCAGCAGAGTACCAAAACTGCAAGTAGACATGTACCATCCATCTCACGAACCACCAAATACAGAGCCGCAGTTTGCAAACAGCGTTCAGAGAGACCGAGCAGCAGCGGGAGAGGTGGAGGCGGCACTGGCAGCGCTTGCGCTTCAGAGGGGCACGGGGTGAGGGTTTGGGACGTACCCCCGGTTCCTGGAAGCGCTGGCGGCGATACCTCACCCCTCCTCGGCCCTGCAGAGGCTGGGCCGGGCTTCCCCGACACCCGCTGCCGGGAAGGGGACGCCTTGCAGAGGTGGCAGCTCTAACGTCACAGCCAGCGTACGCAACCCCAAGCTACCTGGGCTGGTTTTAAGCTTCCCCCCCCTCCTTTCCAATTTTGCCCATCGCTGGCAGTAGAGATGGAACAGGTTTTGCCTGAGTGATCATTTTTCTCTAGAATGACCCATAATAGTGACATGCCAACCAGCCCCTGGACCGCAGCTCAGGGACGGTGATGCTTCCCTGAAGGTGACAGCGGGTACTGCCACCTCTGTGCTAGGAACGGATGGTGAGAAAGTCAGACGAATACACAAAAAAAACCACACTTGTGGTGCTCACAAAGGTGCCAAGCCCCCCTCCACACCTCCAAATTCACCACCCCTGCCTGCCCAGCCCAAAACACTGCTGGCAGCACGAGCCGCTGCTAATGCTCAGTTCAGGTACATTGTGCAATCGTTGTTTATTCTGGGGTATTTGCATGCACGGTGCCAAGGAAATCAGGTGATTTCAGGGAAATCCCTGGCACAGGGACCCACCAGCCCATTTGGGGCTGGGGAGACGCATGGGCTCACGGGCATCGCCCCAGCCCGGCCGCCCCCAGAGCTCAGGGCTGGGCAGGACCCCAGGACCTCACCCGTGGGGCGATGATGATGACAATCACAAATCTGCTGCCGCTCTGCTCTAGACGCATGTATTTACACCTTTTGAAAGTCAAAGCGCGGGGGGAAAAGGTTATCGTTAGGCTTTAATTAAAGCACCGAGGCACAAGTGCTGCCTTCTGCAGAGCCGCCAGAGAGGCTCCATCCCACGACCCAGCAGCCCACGGCCAAAGCAAGGACCCGCTCCGTAGGAATAAGGGACCCACAGTCAGTGATCCAAAGCCACAGACCTTATTTTCAGCAGTGATTAAAAAGTTACAACCGCCAGCACATTAGCAGCTACATTCACAAATCGTGGCAGGTAAAAATACATACTTTGTCTCCTTACAGCCATTAACTACTCAATGATACAAATATAATTAACTCTGTAGCAAGTAATTACAGCATATTGTGCGTAAACATCCTACAGTACATTTCTACTTCCTTTTCCCTGCAGAGCAGGGGGTGTCTCGGCAGGAGCAGCCAGCCCGACGCAGCGCAGGCTTGTGCGTTGAGAGCTTTACTGGAGAGTAACAGCAAGTATTACCATGCCACAGGCTGTAAAGCTCTTCCTTCAACATTTCCCACCCCAA